GTTGCGAGCGCCGTAAAAAAACTTACCCAAACAAAATATATATACTTTTTTTTATTTAAAAAAAAAAAAAATTCAAATTGTTCTGAGGACGGGGTCGACATTTTCTTCCATCGATTTCCCAACAACATCAACAACGAAAACTGTGGATCAGTAGTCTAGGGCGCGATGACATCACAGACCAGGTGACCCCAAGTTCTCTGGTTTAACTGACCGTTGGCTGGAGATCAGGTTGCGCATGCGTGATGGGAATCTATAACATCACTTCCTCTTCCCGTCTGACTCCACTCTGATGCTTTTGATTCCGGGAACCAGTTCAGGTTTCGCAAGAGCACGAGATAGGACAGCACAAACAAGACGATACAGATCAATAGATAAAGCAACGAGATAGAGACAAAAGGCGGAATGTGGAGATTGGGAGAGATCGGGACAAAGAGTGGAATACAGGTAGAGAGATTAATATGATGAAAGATAGAGTAGGATAGAGAGAGAGAGAGAGAGAGAGAGAGAGAGAGAGAGAGAGAGAGAGAGAGAGAGAGAGAGAGAGAGAGAGATACAGACAGACAGGCAGACGGAGAGACAGACAGACAGACAGACTGACTGACAGACAGACTGACAGACAGACAGACAGACGGACAAAGATAAAAGAAAAAGGTATAGAAGGTAAACAGATAAGTAGAACGGCACACACAGCGACAAAGGGATCGAGGGAGGGAGGGAGGGAGAGAGAGAGAGAGAGAGAGAGAGAGAGAGAGAGAGAGAGAGAGAGAGAGAGAGACAGAGAGAGACAGAGACAGAGACAGAGACAGAGACAGAGACAGAGAGACGGAGAGACAGAGAAAGAGACCGAGAGAGAGAAAGAGAGAGAGAGAGATAAAATGAGAATTAGAGAGACAGACAGACAGACAGGCATATAGAGATAGAGAGAGAAAGAAGGCGGGGGGGGGGGGTAGACTGGGAAAGAAGTAAGCAACATCATTAATAAGGCTTCATTATATTGCGACTTGGACATGCATTCATGAGGGAGTGAAAAACGAAACCTTTATTTTTAACATGATATAACTTAAACATACATTTACAAATTTTTTTAAAAGGCAAGCACATTTTCTCTCTTTTTCTTATAATTTGTCACAGCTGTAAGTTTGGTATATTTTCTTTTCTTCACCATAATTCGTTTTATTAGTCAAATGTTTTGAGCTAACGAAATAATCAGGATGGACTACCTAAACCTCTTTCGAGCTGTGATTATACGTAATTTTTGGCCGGGCCTACGGGCGTGGAATGTAACACCTAACGCTTTATCTATAGTCTCACCCCTTTTCTCCCACTTCTGTCTGTCTGTCTGTCTGTCTGTCTGTCTGTCTGTCTGTCTGTCTGTCTGTCTGTCTGTATGTCCGTCTATCTGTCTGTCTGTTTCTCTATCTATCTCTATATCTATCTCTATCACTACATCTCTCTCTCTCTCTTTCTCTCTCTCTCTCTCTCTTTTTTTTCTTTCTTTCTTTGACATACGCTAACGTCACATAAACACTCACACACACACACACACACACACACACACACACACACACACACACGCGCGCCCGCGCGCGCGCACGGCGCGCACACACAAAAACACACAAACACACACTCACTTCCCACCCTAACACAAACATGAATAAAAAATCGCAAAATCAGCAATTCTTATCAATCACCCCTGTACAGTACCTCTATAGGCAACTTGAAAGAGAGAGAGAGAGAGAGAGAGAGAGAGAGAGAGAGAGAGAGAGAGAGAGAGAGAGAGAGAGAGAGAGAGAGAGATAGAGAGAGATCGAGAGAGAGAGAGATCGAGATCGAGAGACATCGACAGAGACAGAGACAGAAAGGGAGACAGACAGACAGACAGGCAGGCAGACAGAAACAGACGGAGAGACAGACTGACAGACACCATTGTTCAGCCACGGCAGTAGTAATCTCCCCTTGCATGGAAAGGTGAAAGGGGAAGTAACCTATATCTATTGATCCGTTGTGACCCTGGCACTGCGTGGAGAGATGCATGGCCTAGATAAAGAGGATCTGACAATGTAAAAACCCGGCAAAGTAGCATCGGCCAGGAATAAATGATAGCCTTGCTTTGAGATGACTGTGGTAGAGTTATTATAAAAGGTGCTAGATATGAAATAGTTTTTCGAAGGATGCGGCATATAATTTCTTTCAGTGTCTGTCTGTATTTCAGGTTTCGTGTCTCCTTCTGTCTGTCTCTCCATGCCTCTCTCAGTCTGTCCGTCACTATGTTTCTCTGTCTATGTCTGTCTGTCTTTCCGTCAGCCTGTCTGCCCATCTGTCTGTCTGCCCGTCTGTCTGTTTGTCTGTCTGTCTGTCTGTCTGTATGTCTATCTGTCTCTGTCTGTCTCTGTCCCCCCTCTCTCTCTCTCTCTCTCTCTCTCTCTCTCTCTCTCTCTCTCTCTCTCTCTCTCTCTCTCTCTCTCTCTTTCTCTCTCTCTCTAGACAGAAAACATTTTCTCTGACGTATTGACAGTATAATTGTCACCTGAGGGCATCACATATTTTTTTCATCTCTAAGAAAAAAGCAAAAACAACAAAAAATAAAGCAAGCTCTCATTAAACAAGCACATAAACACGACAACAGGAATGTGATAGCTGGCTCAAGACAAGTAACGTACACACAGGCGCTCATAAAAGTGACAGAAGACATCTCGTATCAGACTGAGATTTGTTTTGGTAAGACTTTTACGGCACTTACAACTGGACTAGGTCGCATAAGTCCCAAAGATTAAAGGTGTTAGAAATGAGTTACAAAAACAAAAAGAAGGATGAGGGAAGAAAATGACGATAGATGCTTGATAGATAGGAAAAGGGGGGTCAGTAGAACAATTATGGTAGGAAGGAAGGAGGTGATGAAGGAAAGAGAACGAAATAAACACACACACACATACACACACAGAGGGAGAGAGAGAGAGAGAGAGAGAGAGAGAGAGAGAGAGAGAGAGAGAGAAAGAAAGAGAGAGAGAGACAGACAAACAGAGACAGAGACAGAGAGAGACACACAAAGAGACGGATAGAGAACGAGGGGCACAAAGAGAATGCCGGAGATAAGGAGAAAGCAAGAACAAAAATGGCATAAAAAGAGAAACAGATAAAAAGAAAGAAAGGCACAGAGAAGGGGAGAGAGAGTGTGAAAGAGAGAAAGTAAAGAAAGAACGAAAGAAAAAATGAAAGAAGGAAAGAAAGAAAGAGAGACAGCGAGAGACAGTGAAAGGGAAGAGACATGTGGAGGGGCTGAATAAACAAAAGTTAGGAACTGAATCCGGCTCAAGTCAAAGTTACAGAAGAAAGCGACCCCCTCTCGTGGACCCCCTCCACCCCGCCCTTTTCAGTCTCTCTCGTCCTAATTCGCGACGTGTCAACTACAGTGGAAACCCATTGACTTGAAGAGCTCTTCTATCGGAAAAAATATCCGCTACTAAAGAAGAGCTCTACTGCTTACTGAAAGTACCCTCACGAAAGATGAGTTCGAACTCTATTTTTGATGTGGGGTGGGTATCCCTAAAGAAACCAAATCCGCCGAGATAACATCATCTTATAGTACTCATCAGCTTTTGCGGGTCTTTCCACCCGAAAAGCCACACGGCTCAACCAATAAGTATTATAATTAAAGTCTAATTTCAGTCTTTAACCTTACATTTTATTTTTTTCTTATTACAAAGTCTTCGTGGGCACAGATATCGGTGGTGCTACTGTTAAACTTTTAAACAATTTCATTGCTGAAACGTGTTGTATACATTTGTACAGAGAAAAGATATAATTAATGTTCATTCAAGAGAGAATCAAACAAAGCCACCTTCTTTAGGAAGACGTAACTGCCTATGGGTAGTTATATCTCATAAACCTTTCTATATATAGGGCAATTGAAATAAGACAATGACAGTGAACCAGTTTTGGAGAACACAAGCGAATGTAGTAGTTTACATAGCAGTGAAGAGGTTAACGCGAAAGTGACAGTGGACGAGACTACACAGCATCTCCAAGTAGCTCTCCATTCATGGCCAATTATTCGTTGTAAAATGAAACGAAGAATAGTCTGGCGTCGAATGCGAAATTTGTTTTTCCGAAGAAAAAAACCAAACGCTTCCACATTATGTCTCTTCTTTTTCTTCCATTATCATAAGCTACAATTCTACAGAGATCTGGTTAATCTGTTTCAGAAGCTTGAATGGTTGAGGTTTAAAAAATCAGAGAAACAGTAAAGTTATTTGACCTCCGTGGTTTTCTCATACACAGAGTACTGTCGATGACAAGAACGCCTTTCAAATAATTCGTTCGACTTTCTGCACCTTATTTACAATTCCCAAATATTCGGTAAATAGAGGTTAACTTATGTGCTGGACATGTTTTTGTAGGTTACAACTTTCCTATCATTTTGTTTTTATTCCTAAGGTTGGTAGCGATGATCCTGACCGGTGATTTGTAGTAGAAGTGTGCACATGGGCATGTAACAAGGTCTGTATGATTTTGTCGGAAAAAGCGTTTGTGTGTGTATGGGTGTGTATGTGTGTGTATGTGTGCGTGTATGTGCATGTAAGTGTGTGTGTGTGTGTGTGTGTGTGTGTGTGTGTGTGTGTGTGTGTGTGTGTGTGTGTGTGTGTGTGTGTGTGTGCTTGTGTGTGTGCGTGTGTGTGTGAGTGTGTAAACATGTGGTCAGAGTAACGACTAGATAAATAGTGTTCCAAAATAGCATGTCTCTTTATGATCTAAACCATTGTTTGCCGACCTGGTCAATATTGCCCACTACTGTGTGGAATGCTTATTTTGTTTGCGATCGCCAAGAAACTGACATGCTTTTATTCAATGTTCTGCAAGGAAATACATGTTTGTGGGCAGTCCAAAAAACTTTAGCATTACTCTGAAGATATCAAAAGTGTGCGTTGACTTTAAAAAGGTTGACAACACTGATCTAAACTGCATTGCTCGTGGCGTAAAACAGCTGTTACAACACTGCTCACCTTACAGCTCCTCCAATATCCAGCTTAACCCAGGCTGGGCTTGTGTTGAGTCTTTTATGGCCAATCTTCTTGGAAGTTTAGCGTGGAACGCCCATTCTTTCCGCTCTTCTGTGTTCGTTCTTTCCAGGAAAATGGACGCCTGCTTATGGGAGTAGTCGTGTTCGTGGAATTTGCAGCGTTATTCGTCAGTTCAGAATCAAGAGGACTTAATCCTGAAATTGAATGAAAGGAAACATTATTTCTAAAGTTGCTCGGCATATCTACTATGTAAATAACAGAGAGCCGGATCCTGATAAAGAAATGCACATTGTATTATAATACAGAGAAGTTCAGTCGGGATAATGGTCAAGTGCCTAACCTCTGCACCACAGAGGCCAGTCAGCATCGTGTAGTGCTACCCGATTTTTTTTATAGTGAGTGATATAGCCAGCTTACCTCAGCTACATGTATGAAATCATTAATATAAAATGGTACATTTCATAGCTTGATATACGTTTCTGAACTAGGGTGTGATTCACACCAACACCAGACTTCTGTTATATATGTGAAGCATTGCGGTGAAATCAGCCGCTCGTAAAAATAAAGAAATCGAAAAAAATGGCATTTTTCTCCCGGTATGACAATTTTTATCCATTTCTTTTTTGGCACAACACTTTACGACCACTCCAAAACACATTTCTTTGAGAATTTTATTGTGAAACGCTGATTTAAAGCCCCAAAAATCTACATTTTCAGTTTCCAAGGACTCTCAAGCTTTGTAAGTCCCCAGACTTTGGCCGGCCATTTTTTTTGCCAGTTGAATCCATGAAACCAGGTGACTCCCATCCCCTCCAATTCGAAATAACTTGACTTCTATTCAAGATGGATGGGTATTTTTTTTCGTCGAAGGCAAGACAAGCAAACAAGCTCCACAAACCCAACTATTGACGAGCACCTGATTCCACTACGTCCTGACACATTTGTGCCACGACATGGCATCTGGAGTTATTGATATCTTTTGAAAGCTTATTCATTTGCCTTGATCTCATTTTTTTAAAGTACACGTTATCTTGTATAAAAATCGAGATATTTGAGATTGGAAGGTTTGGTCGCCTGGTTTCAGTGATAAGGTTAACGAGAAAATGCCCACAACATTTCAATAGTTTCAATAGGTTGAGAGTCCTTGAAAATTATAAAAATCACATTTTGTTGCAATTTATCAATTTTTATTAGTAAAATTCACATGGAAAGGTGTTTTTATCTGGACGAGAACGGTGATGAGCCAAAAAAAAGAAAGTTTAAAATTTTCAAAATGCCGGAAAAAATGCTTTTCTTAATATATAATATACACACCACAGTGCAAATTCCATAACTCAAAGACCTCTATATATTTTACAGCTCTCTATTACATCATGAATATTATCTAGTCCGTCTGGCTTGATCTCTCTCTCTCTCTCTCTCTCTCTCTCTCTCTCTCTCTCTCATGTTCCCCTCCTAGATAAGCCAATCATATCTAAAACACGCTTTCAGTTGAAAAGATAGTTCTATCACAGAAAACTTTGTTTGAGACTTTTTAAAAATGCAGACAGATCACGCACCCAGTGAAAATTCTTTAGAACATTTTGGAGACCGGGTAGGACTCTGCCTGCTAGAGCTAATCCGGGCTGAAAGGGATGCAACATCCCAGAAGAAAGACCAAAATACTCGATAAAAGTTCTTCCCACTTGGAAATCGCAGTCGGATGTTCTGTGTGTGACAACGAAGTGCTTAACTGCTACGCTAGAAACGTCGGTCTTTGAAACTTTACATAGATCTTGTAAGTTTACCAGAAGGAGCCACATGGTTCTATTTTAGGCGTCTGTGGTTAATGGTTTGGATGCTCACTGTTACATGCTGAAGGAGGAATGAGTTCGATTCCCAAGTGTAGAAGTGGATAAGTCTACCCAAAGCTATCTTACGCATCCCTACCCTACGAGTACCTTACCCTACCTTACGCAAGGCTACCCTACACTACCCTTCTCTACCCTACACTAGGCTACTTTACGCTACCCTACCCTACGCTACCTAACCCATACCATACCATACCACACCACACCACACAAGACCGTACCATACACCATACTAAGTGCATATCATGATTATTATTTTTCCTTGAGAAAGCAATGAGCTTTAAACTCGCTAAATTTCTCACCGTCTTTTTCGAAAGCTGCGTGACCGAAGCCGCAAGAGTTTCGAGTCTGAAATGTAAAGCTTCCCATTCCCTCGAAAAGAATGTTTGGTCACTGCTTTCTCTTCCTCCATTGTCCAAAAGAATTTCTTTCATTCGCCTAAAGACTTTCTTTTGTCCCCAACAACACTTTCTTGTGTTCTCCCCGAAAGGTTGAGAAGACAACCAGGAAGCTTAATTGAAGTAGACTAAGGCTTCCATCTGGTTCCACGAGAGACAAAAAGAATCCCTGAGAATGCCTCCTGTGTCGCTCTAATTGGCGGGCACAACGGAGACAAGACTGGGACACAGAAAAGAAAACAAGAAAAACAAAACAAACAACCCCGCCAGACTAAAAATTTAGTAACCCAATGCGGACAAAGCTCTTAGAAAGTACTTCAATCGTCCTGCCCGATTTGGTAATGTGATCCACAAACTGTTACTGTTATTTTATTCTAAGTCGGG